CTCGAGAGTTTGACACAGAGGAAATTGTTAGTGTGTATGAGCTAGAAGGGCATCCAGACTATGACTACTGTTATGGTGATGTGGTTGTTAGATTGTCACCTGTTTCTGATTGTACAGAAGCAATGTCTTCTGGAAACAATATTGAAGAATTAAAGCAGCAAAGTTCAACGAATGAGGTGATGAGTTGTACAGAAAAGGGTCCAGAAAGCAAGAACGTAGAAGATCCATCATGTGGCGATGATTGCATTGACTTCTCAGATCTCTCTTGGGTTGGAAATATAACTGGTCTTAAGAATGGTGATATTGAAGTTACTTGGGCTAATGGCATGGTTTCAACGGTATTTTCATTTCTTAATTTCTTGAAGATGTTGCTTAGTTATTCTTAAATATAGACAATGAGACTGTCCGGCATACAATTTTCTTATAAATGGAAGAATGTCTTCTAATTGAAGTCAAACACTTTTTTGCTATGACGGGTAGGATTGGGAGCTGTTATTTTCCTATTTCCGTAGGAATTAAATGTTATGTTTAAATGTAATATCTGCTTGGCTTTTAAATAGTTTATCTGAAAATTCGATAAATGTTATTTTTTCTGTTTGTTTCATCTTAATGGATGCTATAATCTCACACTTTTATGTAGTAACTGATTTATGTTTTARCACTTTTCACTTTTCTCACCCCAGAGGTGTAGAACTTAAATGCTAAAGTGATTTGTTGTTTTACTAAGGTTGGCCCTCAAGCAATTTATGTTGTTGGTCGAGATGATGATGATGAATCAATTGCTGCTGGGAGTGAAGTGAGTAATGGTGCTGCAAGTTGGGAAACAGTTGATGATGATGATGAAATGGATTCTGTTGAGAATGCCAAGGAGGTAATATTCTTTTGAAACACTTATTTAGCATTTCTTGTATTTACTTAGTTTTAATTGATTCTAGTGATATGATCTCCAGATTTTCCGGCTAGGAAACTGAAGAAAAAACAATAAGTAGCATGTCATTGAGGACCACTATACTTTTGTTTCAATTATGTCCAGTAGTTGCAAAAGCCATTATCAGAATACCTTCGTGTCTTTTAATTCAATTTTCCTTTAATGATGGGATCCAAAATATATTTTGATAGATACTGCATTTGTCATTCTTTAGTTCTCACTCATAGATTGAGTCAAGTATAATCATAAAATTGAAAATTTACTATAAATTTTTGTTCATTTGAAACACACTCACACTTTAAGCTAACTCTGCCACATATCTGGAGTCAGGCTTGTGATTGTCAGCTTTTTGAAAGTAGGTATACATGTATGGTTTAGACATAGAGGTGAGTTCAAAATTTCATTTTCCAAGGATTTTGGTGAAAATTTTCATAGTATTTTTTTAATTATTGTCCCTCTGTATGGTATGCCCCTCGTTCTGGTTATTGAAATTACGGCATTTTCTTATAAATTGAATACTGTACTTCTTGTGCCCTTAAATGTTTACTAGTTATGCCCTTTGGGGGCAACTTTGTTATGTATACTTACAGAGTAATTTCACTGATATATATTATGGCATCTCTTTCTAAGTAAAATAATGACCCAAGTCAATGTCTCTAGGATATTGAGCTGCAGGATACTGGTGTGAATTCTGAGGAGGAAGAGAGTGAGCAGAATAGTTCAGGAAGTAATCTAGCTCTTTCTGTTCCACTTGCTGCACTACGATTTGTTACTAGATTGGCTGCTGGAATATTCTCACGAGGACCAAGAAATTCAGATTCAATGGATTTGGATTCCCATGGTGAAAGTGAGATTCAATCCTCGGGAACTAAAGCCTCAGAGGAGAATGACTCTGGGCTTCAGTCTAGGCTGTCTAGCTCTCTGAAATCCAATTCTTTTTATACTTCTGATATGAACTCTGATTGTGGAAGAGAAGAGGACGATGTTGCTTCAGAGCCATCAAAAGTGTTGGAAACGGCAGAAGCTTTCAGTGACCTGAGGACTGCAGAATCAGATGGTTCAGCATGCTATGAGGGTGGCACCTGCAGCTTCAAAAGCTTTGATATAGCTAAAGATCCTTTGGATCATTATTTTATTGGTACAAATGGACAAGTAAGTAATTTACAAAATTCTCCAAATGTTGATATATTTTGTGAAGATAAGACACCACTTTTGATGATGCACGAATAATTCTATGCATGGCTTTGCTGCATGCAGATTAATAATGGAAGGAAATGGCATAAGAAAATCCAGCAAGATTGGAGTATCCTCCAGAATAATCTGCCAAGTAAACAATGTTGTTATGTTCTTGATTATACCATCTCCCCTGAGATTTTGACATCCATGTATCTGTTTGCTGGCCACTGACTTTAAGCTATGGATCAATTCTTATGACAGATGGGATATATGTTCGAGTCTACGAAGATCGTATGGACCTTTTAAGAGCAGTCATTGTTGGGGCTTATGGGACCCCTTACCAAGATGGCCTCTTCTTCTTCGACTTTCACCTCCCACCAGAGTATCCCGATGTTCCACCAGTAAGCAATACTTGATTTTTAATCAGTACACCTGTCATGACATTAGGTCACTTTTAGTTTCTGGGTCCTATATCTTGTAGCTCGCTGATGGGGTTTGTGATGATGCAGTCAGCATATTATCATTCGGGTGGCTGGCGGATAAATCCCAATCTTTACGAGGAAGGCAAAGTCTGCCTTAGCCTTTTAAATACTTGGACTGGCAGAGGAAATGAAGTGTGGGATCCAAAGTCTTCTAGCATCCTTCAAGTGTTGGTCTCGCTTCAGGGATTAGTGTTGAATTCTAAACCATATTTTAATGAAGCTGGTTATGACAAGCAAGTTGGGACAGCAGAAGGAGAGAAAAATTCCTTGTCGTACAATGAAAACACTTTCTTATTGAACTGCAAGACAATAATGTATCTTATGAGGAAGCCTCCCAAGGTGGGTAATCTTTTTATTATTATTATTGTCGTTCTTTCATTTTATATCTTTGTTGTAAACTTTTTCTGGTCCACATAATCTTCAAACTTCACACGTTAAAAAGACTAGAAAACATATGAAGAGGAAAGTAGTTTCCTTATTGTGCTGTACTCAAAAAGTTTATGATCTAATGACTGCTAGTGATATATTGACTTCAATATTACGTTGACCATTTGAAGTTTGTTCATGAATAGGACTTTGAAGATCTCGTTAAAGAACATTTCAGGAGGCGTGGATATTTCATCCTGAAGGCCTGTGATGCATACATGAAAGGTCACTTGATTGGCTCTCTCTCAGAAGACGCATCTATAAGAGTAGAAAGTGATCCGAACTCCACGTCAGTCGGATTCAAGCTTATGCTCGCTAAGATTGTTCCGAAGCTCTTCTCATCRTTGAACGAAGTCGGAGCTGATTGTCATGATTTTAAGCATTTTCAACAGTTGTAGCATAAAAAAGAACTCCAATTGACAAGTTTTCAACATTTACATATAGCCGACAAGGTAATTTTTTCCCCCTATTCATCCCCATTCATGTTAAAGCCTTCTTTTTTCCCTTTACCCATTATGATCAATGATGCACCTTGTTTATAAGTTTTGAACTGGGGCCTCTCATGCCTTTGAAAGCTTCATATAATTTTGGGAGCTGGGTTTTTGGGACAACTCTTTGGTCTCTGTCATCACATTTTTTTGAAACAGAAAGTCAGATTACATTGCAAGTTAGAAATTAATTGATCTTGCTCTGTCTTAGCTTGTTTGTGCCTTAAATGGACTTCATTGAGGATTTGTTTTTACTGCGTTCAAATATTGCTCGAAGAAGAGTAAAGAAGTGTGATATTTGTTCTGCATTTTATTCTTTATGACTTTCTGTTGTAAGAACTTGTCGGAACCTCTTTAGGACATGCTGGAGAAGTAATTTTAACGCTTCGAAGAGATTCGGGTGCTCTTAAAATCTCGGTCTAAATACGATTATTTGTTCCCCCGACTTTTGGTCCATTTTCGTCAAACTTTGGACGTTATTTTGGTTTCTGTACTTTGCAAACGTTTATTTTGGTCGTTATACTTCTAATTTTGGTTCATTTTAGTCTTTGTATTTTTGAAACGTTTGTGTTGGTTAGTGACTATTTTGGTCCATTCGTTTTCATTTTGTCTTATTTATTTTTAATAAAAAATTTGGCATTACATTCACTCACTAAATTTCTTGAAATGTAGTTTTATATTAAAGGATTTTTTATTGCGTGTAAAATTTATGTTGAAATTTTGTAGATGTGGACCAAAATGGTAATTTTTAAAAGTACACGGACTAAAACACGATCATTTTGAGAATAAATTGATTAAAATAAACAAAAGTTGAAAATGGATACTGTGAAAGAAGTGTAACTAAAATARACCAAATTTGAAAGTAGAGGAACAAAAATGRCATAAGTTGGTTAAGAGAGACTAAATCGAAGCAAAAGAAATAAACTATTACAAGTAATTTGGAATATATTTGTTGGACTTTCATATTTATTCTATTTCTATTTATTTCAAATGTTTGTATTAAAAAATATTTTATTTCTCACTGTTAGTCTTTTTATTAATTACTTGAGACTTAGATTCATTTGGAAAGATAACATCAAATGGCTTATAGGAAGTATGAAATACTTGTCTTATAAGTAGATTTTGAAACATATGTGTTCGTGAGTTCGAACTCTTAACTAATCTTTTTTATTAATTAATACTCTTAATTCAAGTAAATAAACTATTTATGAAAAGATTAAAAAAATGACTGACAAAAATATATAAAGTGTTTGGAAAATGAAATAAATATGAAAATTAAGATTTAATTTTAGATTTTTTACTTGGAAAAAACAAAACTCAATTGAGTTTCTAATTGTAAATTTCAGTGGTTTCATTATCAAAAATAATAATAAAGAAAAAAATCCAGTTATAATCGAAATGAATTAAGTGCAAAACCTAAGGAGAAAAATATAATTCTATCTTCTTCTTCTTCTTCTTGTTTAATTAAACAATTAAAATTTTCTTAGTGCTAATGAAATCGAAGTAGAAGCACTATAGTGCAATTTTATTTATTGCTATTTTGACAAGGTGAACAGAGATATCTTTCTTAAAAAAATCCTGAAAGAAAATAGAAATGGATCATAATACTCGATGAAAGCTTAACTCTAATCAATCATGGCCGATCCAAGCCAAAGAGTTCCTCTCCTAATTTCGAATCATTCAACGTACGATAAATATGAAGAACCAATGATATGAATTTCATTTCGTTAACCACTTCTCATAATCCCTCGCCTCGCCAGCAGCCTCGAGATCGGCGGCGTGAGCGCAATCGTTATCGGAATCCGAATCGGCAGCAGCGCCTTGTTGCAAAGCACGGCCAAAGCCAACGCGCCGCCAGTCGACGCTGCGAGCTCGGCGGTGCGATTCCTCCTCCTCGGCTCCTGCACCGCCGTCGATTGATTTTCCGACACAGGCCTTTCTTCGATCACAAATCCGTCATCTGCGGACGACGTGGATTCGGAGGGAATCGTCTGCGGTTGATCTTTGGAAGAGAATCCATCCATGTGCAACTTGTCGAGTAGCGATTCGACATCGACATTGTTCTTGATGGCGACATAGAGGCCAGTGATCGAAGCTGCAGAGACTGAGAAATGAACTCCGATTGCGACCTTGCCGTACTTTCTGAGAAGCTCGCGGAATCGGCCGCCGCCGGTGAAGAAAGCCATTGATTAGAAGAGAAGGGGAAAAGGACCGGGAAGGATAAACGGCGCGTCGGAGCTTGGCGGTGGAGGCTAGGGTTTCGAAGATTTTCTGCAGGGGTTTTAAAATTCGTCCTATTTGTTGGGACCGAGGATAAAACGACAGCGTTTGGAGATTATAAAAAAGTCAAGAAAATCTAATGCAAATGGGCGAGTCAACGTAGGAGCAGCCCATGTTCTGATGTGCAGCTAATGGGCTTAAAGCCCATCAGGTTCGACCCGAATGTCAATTCCCATTTTTATATCAATATATATTCTTTTAAGTACAATATTATTATGCTATTATTATAATGTATAAACTGTAATTCTCTCCCTTTTTATTCATGCAGTGCACATTTTACAAAGGTTTTAAAAGTCTTTTCAGATTTGTGCTTCCTCAGTTCCTCCTAAGATTTAAGAATCAACTGTCATTAAAACTATGATAAAATTCTCCATTAATCATGATTATTTTTATGGAGGCTTAATTAAAAATCTTATTTTTTTCGTTAAATTACAAAAAAAAAAAAACCTTTGATCCCTTTCAAAAATTTCCAATTTCCCCATCTTATTTATACTTKACTTTTCATAAACTTTTAGAAATAAGGTTAATTTAGATAAAAAATTTACGTGGTAGAATCTAAAATGGGGGGAAGTTTGGATTAAACTGGAGATGTAGAAGAAACAAACTCTATTGACAATAGAGGAAAAAGACTTTTAAGCAAAATTAGAACGCCATTATCATTCCAGATTTGCCACTACTTTCTATAAAAAGGCACGGATTGAGACTTTTSAAAGGATAATGCTTTTTTTCCTCTCTTTTGAGGCTAGAAGTTCACCAAGTATACTATTGAATTTATATTTATTTCCCTTTCCTTCAAAAATTTGTGACTTTTCTTTTTGTTAAACATTTTSCCCCTCACTAATGAATGGTTTTTTTAGGTGAGCATAATAATATTTATAGGCTCAAAAAATTGGCATAGTCAACAGCCAAGTCCTTTTCCAATAGTTGAGATTCACAATTAAGAAACAATTTATCTGTTTTCTATTCAAACTGACCATGTTAGAGAGAGAGAGAGAGAGAGAGAGAGCAGTGATGCCTATCCTAGCTGTGCCAGCTAAAACTTGTTGATTGCTATTTTGCTTCAAGATCAAATTTACTTATATCCTCCTCTCTCTCTCTCTCTCTCTCTCTCTGACTGCCCTATGGAAATCAAAAGGAATTAGGAGTGAGAAACAATGGTGGTGAAGTTATATCATTGCAGTTTAATCCATTATTTGTTCCTGTTTCTGAGCTTTGGTGGAATATTATTGTCAAAGTGTGAGGTCTTTCTTGTTGGAGGTGAAGATGGATGGAACTCTGGCATCAATTTTGTTTCCTGGTCACAAACCCACAATTTCACCAAAGGAGACGTTTTAGGTACCTTCTCATCCACTATTTTTCTACCACTTTATACTTCTTTTTTTTCCCCAAACTTTTCTCTTTTCTAATCCAAATAAATTCTCTTCCAATCCAAGTTTTGAAGTTTACAAATTGTTCTAAGTAGTCCTTGAAGCTGAGTTGAATATTAATGATCATTCTCACGTAAAGTAAACTAAACATGACATGATAGATTAAGAGATGATAGGATTGATGCACACAGAGATCTTATTATCTGAACAATTAGCTTATGTCTAGACTATCATGTTATATCTCCTAATTTGACACATATAACATGCCATATGTTGTTTCTCATACTCAGAGTTATTTAGAATCCTATTGTTGGATAACTTTCATGGATTAGTTGTCCCATTCAAACTAGATATAAACCAACTCATATTTACTAATTTAGTTATAAATTGCTTCCAAAATGACAGAATTATTACCCGCTCCTTTCTTTTTTTTTTGAGGACAACAAATGTAGGGATGGGGTGAACCTCCGACGACCTCAAGGGAAGAAGTAAGGTGTTTTAACCGCTGAGCTAAGATCATGTTTTGCATTATTACCCACTCAATCCTCTAAAACTATAATGAAAGCTCAAAACAGCGCAAATTGTTTGCGACAATTAAAGTTTACGTTGTTATAGCAATGCTTTTGAGAAAATGTCGCAAAATTTAGCGACGTCTAGTTTACGTCGCTGTAGTTCTACGTACAGCGATTGCATTGAAAGTCTTTTCGTCGCTAAAACTAATTAGTCATTTGGTTTGTCCTAAAACATCATAATTCTTTTGTTAATACTTAAATTTGGTTAAGTTGTTATTGGTTTTGGTTTTGTAGTTTTCAATTACTCAAAGAATGAGCACAATGTGTATGAAGTTAGTGAGGAGACATACAGATCATGCAATGCAAGCAAAGGAGTAGTGGGTGAATATGATAGTGGAAATGATGAAATTGAACTGAAAGAAGCAAGAAAATATTGGTTCATTTGCAATGTGGCTGGCCATTGCTTGGGTGGAATGAGGTTTGGAATTGAGGTCAATCAACCCAACTCTACCATTCATGTCCCAAATAGTGATTTTCAACCTCCTCCCCCAACCACCAACCATGGTTCTTATGAAAGCTACCAAATTTGGAGCTCTACTTTGATTTTCATTATAGCATTTGGACTTGTATTCCGTTGAGGTACGAACATTGTGATTCAATGTTACGTTCGATAATCATTTTTTTCTTTCGGAGAATAATATAACATTGCAATTGTAGGAGTGAGAATTTGAATCTCGAACTTATAAGGAAGATTATGAATGCTTTCGCCGTTGAGTGTCCACTTTTGATAATAGTTGAATGCATTTGGGGGAAAATGTGAAAATTATTTTGGCTCAATTACAAAAAAAAAATACTCTTGGACTTTGCCTTTTGCTTAAAAATATATACTTTTATCATTTAAAAAARTTCCAGTATTACTTTTTACGTTTTATAAAGGTTTTTTTTTTTTTAACAAACATCGTTAATATTTTTTATAAACATTACAAAAATACTCTTTGAGCAAACATTTGCGTGACAATTAACATTCCAATTTTTAAAACAAAGGTTTGTAATTTGGTCAAATATTTTTAATTAAAGTCTATCCGACTCGCACAAAATTTTATGTTCCCTTTGTTTATTTTAATTGTTTTGTGAATGAAGGGACTTTTTTTCATAATAAAATAATGTGTAGGGGTGGAAATTCGAASAAATTTGGTTAAAGATATCTGCACACTTTGTGTTTCACGGTTGATTAAATGTTATAAATCTAAATTTATACCATCTTTTTTTGTCTCAATTCTAAATATATAAAATTGGGCAAGTGGGTTCATAGGTAATAAATAAATAAATTGTCACTTCTTTCCTCTAGAGAGAATAAAATAAGTTCTACAAGCAAGAACTATTAAATATACAATTTTTTTTTTAAGTTTAACGAAGATTTGAACATTTGGTCGAGATAGATGAACTTTCTATTTCTAATTTTAATTTCATTTTAAATGTAAATTGTTCCGTCTCCTTAATATTTTTGTCAAATCCTAATATAATAATGTTAATGGAAGCATATTTTTCGTTTTTTGTTATTTTTTTTTCATATTTGCATAAAATGTGTTGAATATTTTATGGCAGCCTTTAGGCCCTCATATTTGAATCTTATTTACATTTTGTGCCGACAAAGAGGAAACCAAAATAAATTTATGGAAAATCAGTCGATGGGAGAGTTGGTAGTTGCTAATATTTTAAATTTTAGGTTAAAACGTCATCCTGTTTAACTAACCATCATTTTAATAATTAATATAATTAAATAGGGAAAATTGAATTGCTATTTTAATTTGCTTAAATACTATATTTACCAACATTTTAGCTGTTACATCTCTCGATTGTACGTAGATTTTAAACAAAATATATTATTTTTGGCATATAAAAAAGTTATTAATTTTTAAAATATATAATTTTAATATAAAAAAGAAGTTCTGAATCTTGAACCATTTTTTTTATATATGTCTTAACCAATTGAAAAGTTCGGAAATATTTATGTTTATACTTTTTTATTTTTGAATTCAACTACTACTTTTTAGAGAAATTGTAGTGGATAGCAAAAATCTAATATGTCACTTGTTATTTTTATTTATTTTTAAATATAGTATAAACTTTTATTTATATCAGTAATATATCAAACACTCGTATTAATAGTATATTAAATGTATATCACATACATATTGCATTGACATTCATATCGATAGTATATCAAATGCATATTACATATATATTGTAAATATATCAAACACTCATATCAGTAGTATATTACATACATATATGATATATTACAATATATACCATTTTGATAAAATTGTTATTTTAATATTAGACCTCAATCTTTTTTAAATGCTATGTTTTAAAAAACTAAAGGTAATAAATTATATTTGCAACTCCTAAAAGATGATAACTTACCCCTTATCACATGAATTTTGTTTGAGTTCACATAATTTTTTAAAAAGAGAGAGGAGGAGGAAGAAGAAAACTATCTGGGAATAATGAGAATGGAGACAAAATTACATTCCAGCGACGATCTTCGAGAAATTAGAGTTACGAGATCCGATTTTCAAAAAGGAGGATGCCAAATTCCAAGAAAGAAAAGGAAGAAGATGACGCCTGAAATCAAATTGGGGAAGTCAAAATGCGTCGGATTCACTTCCATTATCGGCAGACTCTGCCAACTACCAAGTCGAAAGCAAGGTGTCTTTACTCGCTCTGAATTTAATGGCGTTTCCACCAATAATTCCAACCAATTCTGCATAACTATCAATTTGAGGCTACATTTCTCCTCTGTTTCCCTCTGAAAATTCTGCGGAGTGAGTTCATTTTCATTTTCATTCTCTTTTTCTTTTCCATATTCGTTCAGATGTTCAACGTGCTTGGAGAGAATCGCGGTTGGTAGGTGGGTCAGAAGAACCAACAGTTTGCGCTTTACAACTCCGTGATAACATCTCGAATTGTTCGTTCAGACAGAGACATTCTGAGGGAGAAAAGGAAGCCACCGCCATTCGGACGGATTTGATTCAACAGGTTCCTCTCTGCTCCCTAACCCTTAATTTCCCCTTTTTCCTGTCGCTCTTGTTGCTGCTCTGTATTACTGTTTGAGTGGCTGAAATTTTATGAGGTTTAATTTTCTGGTGATTAATTTGGTTTAAAAACTTTGGCAAGGTCTGATTTCTTACGTTTTTGAGGTCATTGTTTGACAATCTGGGGATGGTTTTCAAGTCAAAATAATGATTCAGCCATGGCGTCTTGATCCATTAGTGAACAGTGGAAATGAGGGCTATTGTACTCTACGACCATTCAGCTCTGTGAACATTCAAAACATGATGGTTTAGACAATTGATCATTCTCTGGCTCCCGCAGGTTTTCAAATGGCTGGAAAAGGAAACGGACGTTCAGATTGCACAAATGCTTCCAATCCCTATCATGTCTGCTCCGAATTCTGCTCCCAAAAGAAGAGGCAGATAGCTAGAAAGGATTCAGGTTCTTTTAACTTTGCTCTTCGCTCATTCACTATCAACTATACCAGATACTAGTTCACTGGCAAAGACTTGGGGTCTTTTGGTCGTACCGGTTTAAAGGTCTCAAGTTTCCTGTGCTTAGTACCAAAAAATATTTGATATCTTTTAAGTCGAGGCTTTGGGGCGGGTATAGAGGAGCAAAGTTCTGATTCTAAGTTATCAATAATAATAATAATAATAATAATAATAAAACTGTCTGGCTTTGTTTCTCAAGCTCGTAGGTTATATTTGTATAACCTAACATCAAGACGTTGAGCCTATATTTGATACATGAGTACTAAGAGTTTGCTAATCTCAGAATACTTAAAATCTAGATTACATAAATACATAGTAATTAAACTCACTTTTTATCATACATATTAATGCTTGTAAATCATAAATCTACCAACCAAAATTTTGCTAGTCCATATTTTTCACAATCCAGATGCAAATTACACGAACTTAGGCTTCTCGACCTCATGTTTACTAACATCAAGTGACAATGTGACTTAACTTTTCTCGAGATGTTTGCCTATTTGGTTTGGGAAAGTTCCTAAATTTTGAACATATTTGTTCATAGATAAATGACTTGATCATGGACCATCTTAAAAGATTTAATTTCATGCTATATGTAAACTGATTTATCATCGGTATAAAAAAAAGGGGAAAAAAAAAAGATTATCACTAAGTATGACTGAGTCACTGAAGAGAAAAATATTTCATCTGTCTCCTCCACCCCTCTTTATGAAGATGATGGTGCTCTGAAGTACAGCGGCGAATGCAAAAAGGCAGTTCATCCAGATTGCACTAATGGATCTAATCCTTACCATGACTGTAAGGAATTCTGCTCCAAAAGAACCACTCAATCTGGCAGGCCAAAGGCTGAAAGGGATTCAGGTAAATCATGACCATCGCATACAGTGTAAGGAAAGTTATGCCAGATTTGATAGGCAAGTAATTGATATTATAAGAAACTGCAAGGAAGGAAGAACCGCTCAATCTGAAATAGCACGTTTTGTTTTAGAAAAAAAAGTTTCATGATGGTGTAAATGGTTTATTCTTGAAATTTAACTCTGATAGTGGTAGCTAGGATAGAAGGAAAGCAAAAGAAAAAAAGGCACACAGTCGACAAATAGGGGAATTTTGAAATGGCAATTCTTCATCTAATTCGTCAACAGCTCGAACCTTACTGTCTTAAGGCTGGTGACATTAAGTAGGAGTTCGACAAGATATCTAAAAAAATGTCTGTCTTTATCTGAATGCTGATGTAGTTTTGGCTGCAGGTTCAGTTGGAGCAAAGAAGGGTTCCCAGCCAAAACCGCCCCAACAACTCAATGTACCTTTGGCAAGTGCTGTTTCTTCTAAACCTCAAGTTACTAAACCACATTTTTCTCCCGAGGAAAAAATAGATGTGAAGAATGGTGACTACGTCAACCCGTACTCTGCAGGAGCTCGCGTCATGAAAGATTCTTTACCAATCAAGGAGCAAAATAAGTTCTCTCAATTAATTTTAGTTTCAGGAGATTCCCTAAAGGTGCTACATCAAGTCTCTCTCGCTCTATTATGTGTGCACACGCTCAGAAACACTTCACTTTTCATCTTTGGTTTAACTCCCATCTTCTAATTTTCCTGTGTATTTCGTGGCAGGCTGACAATTTCCAAAAGCCCCGCAAAACCGATGCTTCCTCAATTGCTTCTGTGAAATCAAAACAAGACATTGATGGAAGGCCAGATGAGATTTTTGAAATAGTACAAAATCCTGCAGTTCACGATGAGGAAGAAGGTGATCATGCTACTGCTTCACCCAACTTCACTAACTTTCCTTTCCATGGTATTGCTCGTAGTCACGAAGAAAGCGATGAGGAAGAGGTTAAATCTGCATCATCGGAGCCCTCTGTACCTGTCGGGAACTACTACATAAAAGTGAGTTTAGCTTCCATTCTGCAATCAATCTTCAACAAGCGTGGAGACATAGCAGCTTCATGTAAATTGGAATCGATTTCCATTCGCTCTTATTATCTGGAGTGCGTGTGCTGTATTGTTCAAGAGTTGCAGCGCACAAAATTCTCTCAGAAGATGTCCAAGTCCAAAGTCAGAGAACTCTTAGCCATCCTCAACGACGTAGAGTCTTCAGAAATGAATGTTGGTTGGCTGCATAGTATACTCAACGAAGTCGCAGAAGCTGTCGAGTCCGGTGGCCAACATTGGACTCTGGATGCAGCAAAGGCAAACTGCGACCACGAGTTGAAGCTTACCAAGAAAGAACTCGAATATCGAATGGAGGATTTGACACAGAAAGAAAAGGAAATGAGGAATGCAAAGGCAAAAGTTTCAAATACCAGAGCTAACCTGAGCGAACTTGAGTCGAAATACTTTCAGCTGAACGGGGCGATTTCATCTCTGCAGTTGAAGGTTAACAATTTACAATCCAAACCCTTGGCTGATGAACTTCTGTAAGTTTACAGCTTGATTTGTAGTCATTTAGAGAACGATATATGAGCCTCTCAGAGGTTCATTTTGTGGTTGTGGCAAACTAGAAGAGAAAAATATGCTGTCATGCAAAAAGAAGTTGATGTAATGAACGACAAATTTTGAGATTTAATTCCCAATAAATATCATAATGGTTCTTGCATTGAGTCTATTTTGCCCTTTTTCTTTTCACTTTTCCATATTAAGCAACCATTCCATGTATTTTGTGCCTTCGTAGGGTTGGAATCTACAGAGACAAATCTTTAGTTAACTTTATGAAGTAATGAATTTACACATCTGGTTTATCAATATGGATTGTCTTTGTTTATGCAATCATATGCACAACAGTGTATTTTTGATTGTACCTCGAACTTAGCTTCCGGACCGATCTGAATACTTGGGCGGACTTGCACAAAAAGGTGAGCACTCCGACGATCAAGTCAGTATAGGTCGGATTCCCAGTTTAGTTCGAGGTCAGAAATCATCATACTTGATCGTGGAGTGAGGTCCTCTACTTATGGGTGGTAGTCCCGCTAATCTCGCGACGGTTACACCCGGTAATTTCGGGACCGTTGGTTACACCCGGTAATCTTGGGACCGACGGTTACACCCGATAATCACGCCGCTGACAGTAGCTCACGTCGGCCCCCACCGAGCTTCCCGGTAGATCGGACCTCGGCCAGGTTCACCTCGGCCCTCA